AGGAAGTCTTGCAGGGACACAGGCCAGACATGGGGCTTTGCTTCCAGCTTCCGTGTCCTGGACCTCAGCGGCTGGAACTGCTGCTCTGGCTTTAATTGGTACCACAGTTCTAACGATATTCTATTGGGCTGGCCATCGAGTTTTTCTGTCAATACCCCAGCCTTTATCAAATCCACCCACATCTGGGTCCTCGAGACCTTCACGGGGCCCTTCTTACCTCTCCTTTCAGTCATGGCCCATACTTCCTTCCATGCTCTTATTATTTCAACCTCCCACAGATGTGCTAAAGTACAAGGAGCCTCATTTATGGGTTGCCCCATGTGGAGGGCAAGAACAGTCACTACAAACCCAAAGAGAGACAGGAGAGCTGTATGGAGCACCAGATTTCTCATTCCTAGATTTTTCATCCAATGAACAAGTCCTCATTGGGGCCTTGGGGATCCTTATTATTGACAAATAGTTTTCATGCCCATCTCCTGTAACACCTGCTGCAGCTCTGCATATGTTTTCCAGCTAGTGGGTAAGTATAGTAAAACACCCTTAGGCCAAACTGCCTTAAGGGCTGTCAGCCAATCCAGAAGCATCCGGATTCCCTGAGTATGACAGGCACTTTGCAACCCCTGACAGAGAGAAGGGTGAGTTGTGAGAGAAGCCAGTCTATTCATTTCAGAACCCAACATAACAATGTTTTCCACCCCCATATCCCAGAGACACAAAAGCCACGTAGGCAGAGGTTCTGATGGCTTCTGCCAATACCGGATGCTCATGCCCCCAGCTCATCCTGGGTATAGGGGCAGAGCATGGAGTGCTCCACAACCTGGGAGGGGGCAGCTCCTCCCCGAGGAGCCTGTGGTGTTGCATTTTGACTTTCTTAATTACAACCAGGTAATTACTCACCCACATAATTACCTATTGATAAGGAGATGGACTACTTTCCACCCCTTGGGAACACATATTGATATGCAGATGTACTAAAGTCAGGAAAGAGATTCTGGAAATATTGCAATTTTACCCACAACGATTCAGCCATAAAAACAACAGAAATTCTGACATTTGAAACAACATGGATGGACCTAGAGGGTATTGTGCCAAGTGAAATAAGCCAGGCAGGGAAAGAAAATTACCATATTTCACCTTTTTATGGAATATCAAACTAACAAAACAAAATGAAGAAAATACCAGTAGAGTCACAGACACTGAGAAGTGACTGGTGGTTTCCAGAGAGAAGCAGTAGGGTAGGGAAAGGGAGGGGGAATAAAGGAGCACTAAAATTCCCAATCACAATATAAGTTGGTCACAGGGATGGTAGTACAGCATGGAGAATATAGCCAATGACTCTGTAACATCTTCCTATGTTGACAGACAGTAACTGCACTAGTTGGGGTGTGGATTTAATGTGGGTAACCACTGAACGACTGTGCTATATACTTGAAACCAATATAAGTTTGTACATCAAGTATACTTCAATAAAAATAAAAGAAATTTCTCTGCTTCTCCCTCCTCCTGAACCCCCACCAGCAGGAAGGGGACTGGCAAGTATTGAGCAATAATCAAGGGATTAACAATAGTAATTGTACTTATTCATGATAAATATAAGGTACTAAAGAAGCACATGGAGTGGTACAGGGACTATAACAGGTCAAGCCCTAAGGAAATGTTCCTTGAATAATTAATGGATGAATGCCTGAAATAGTCTTGCTTCCAAGCATTATGATGTTTTTTGACTAACAGTAAACTGGAGTATTGTTACTTGACATATAGGATTTTGATAAAGGAGACCAGGATTACATGGAACAACAAGTATAGGAGAAAAAAATGTTCAAGTCAATTCTAAGACTAGAAAGAATTAATGAAGAAGACAATCTAGTGATGTATCAATACCAGGGGAAAGGAGTTACTAAGCTAATTCACTACAAACAATAGTCTCTTGTGTGCAATAAAAAGGAAAATACAGTCCCTGCCCACCAGTCAGCAAGAGTGCAAAAGGGGATGGAGAGACATAGAAATGATCTCATATGAAGCTAAAATATGTTTAACATTGTAACAGCTGCAAAGCACCCTGTTTCTTATAAGCAGACAGCAGAACAGACCATCCGCCTGAGTGTCATAAATACAGGAGTCGTATCATGGGCTCGGTGTGAATCCTGGTTATACCTTTTAACTTACCTTAGAAAATCCTCAAGACTACTTTCTAGTCAGTTCCTTCTTAACGCATATAGATCTGTACTTTCTTGGCAATACAGAATATCTAGAATCTGAGTCATTTCCAGGAAGACAGATTCAAACTCCTGAGGCTAAAGTCTAGTTTTAAGAAATGATGTTTAAGAAATAATAATCCTCTAAAGAAGAGGTCAGAAAACTTTTCATACAAAAGGCTAGATGGTATAAATTTCAGGTTTTGAAGGCCATGTCTGATCTTAAAAAAACAAAAAACAAAACAAAACAAAAATCCTTAAAAATGTAAAATCCATTCTTAGATCACTGGTCACAAGTAAGTTTTGGCCCATGGACCTAGTTTGACAACCTCTGCCCTAAAGATCCACAGTTTGTCCATTTTGCTACTTCAGTGATTTTCAAACTGGACTGTGCAATTGGCACTTGGAAGTGCCTCGAGGGATACCACTGGTTCCTAAGCCCCTATCCCGGCCACATCACTGGTTTACCACTTGTTTACCACTTTTCTTACTCTTCCTGAAAAATTCAGCCAATTACAAAGGTCTGAGTAAAACAGGCAACTATGCAGGGGTAGGAGAGCCACAGTGGCCTGAGGTCCATGCTGAGAGGCCCGTCAGGGTGAGGGCAGCACCCCCCCCAAGGAAGGCCACCCACCGGACGCAGATCCCCAGAGGAGTGAGGAGGCAATCTGGGCAAAAGCTGCAGGGTCGGGGTGGGCAACCCAGCCTGGGGTTTCAGAGCCTGCTGTGTAACAAAACATCATAGGCTGAGCGACTTAAACAGATAGCAATTTCTCATAATTTTGGAGGTTGAGAAGTACAAAATCAAGGTGTCAGAAGATGTGGTTCATGTTGAGGGTCCCTTCCTGGCCACTGATGGCCCCCCTGCCCCTACGGCAGAAGAGAGGAAGCTTTGGTGCCTCTTCTTGAAGGGCACTAAGTCCACATGGTAGCTTCACCTTCACCACCGCATCTGAGCCCAATTACCTCCCAAAGGCCCTGTCTCCTAATACCAGCGCGTTGGGAGCTGGGGCTTCTACATATGCTTTCGTGGGGGCATGGGACACACACATTCAGTCCACGACAGAGCCTAAGCTGATGAGGAGGGTGTCAACACTGAGAGGGGGAAGAGAGGTGGCAAAGCATGGCAGAGGGGACAGAGGGGAGCTGACCAAGCGAATAGGTCATGGGGGTAACAGACACCAGGATTTTCACTGTGGAAGGGCAGTTACAGAGAGAAACGGAAGAAACCAGAATGGATCTTTAGGGTGGTAGACTAGAATAGGAAATACCTGTGTGAAGTCATGGTTGTCAATGTACATAAACAGATTCAGTAATAAACAGAAATGTATATGTATGACATACATATAAAACACATGCCCACACGCATTCATATATACATAAACATCATATATGTCAGGCATACATGCTACTTCTGTCCACTAGTGAGTGGGCCTGAGAAGTGACACCCAAGAGTAATGAAGGTACTCTGTGCCCAGATCTTGGTTTCTAAAGGTCCACTTAAAAACAAATGAACAAAAACAAAACAGCACTCCTAGGAAAAGTAACTACATCCAGCCCTACTTATAGATAGTTCAAGAAATGGCAAAACTAATTTTTTTGAATGAAATCAGAACAGCAGTTGCTTCTAGGTTAGGGGAACTGACAGGGGATAAAGCTCAACAGCCAAAGGCCACCAGGGACAAACCAGGAGTCCAGCAAAGCCAGGCTTCTTATCTTGTTTTATAACCAAGGGAGAATAATCCGGGGAGCTCTGAAGGGGCCCAAGTAAGGAGGGAGGTTGTCTTGTTTTGTTTTGTGTAAAGTTTGGGCTCCTAGTAACCCTACAAGGTGGACAGGAATTAGAGATGCTTATCTGAGCTCATGATCTGAGAGAGAAAGAGAAAAGTCAGTATCATCCCCATTTTACAACTGAAAAAGTTCAGATTAAATGTCTCTACCCTTATGAAGAAACCAGGATTTGAATTTAGTTCTCATGCCAAATCCAAAACTGCCACACCAAACGCCTGGACGGTTTAAGGAAAAGAGAAAGGTAATCATCCATCTTCCTCAGAGTGGCGCTGTGTAATACAGTTTCAGGATTTTAACGTCTAATTTACTCTTTGAAACAGCGATCACAAAGAAATAGTCGAAGGAACCACGTCACCAAAAAGAAGAGAGACAAAACAAACGAGAACACTTTTCCTGTAAGTTTTTCATGGAATGAATAACAAACGTTTGCATACTTCTTATTGGAACTCAGAATATGATTACAAATGAGCTCCAGTCGGCAACCTTTGTCGTCACTCACTGAACACACGACTATTCAAAGACTGTGTTAAGTTTCTTTGCACAGAGCAGTTTGGGGAGGGGTAAAAAACGGGTTGATTCACAAAACAGGAAGCTCTCCCTGAAACCGATCTTACAACAAGGATCCCGAATACACGCAGAGAAGGCACTTTTTGCACTGTTTTGCTGGAGACGCCGGGCACTGTCGCGGGTTTTCCAACGGTGCTCCTTAAACCTCCGTGTGCGTTTGAATCGTGGAAAGCGCGTTAACGTCAGTTCCGGGTCGGCGGCTCAGTGTGGGGCTGAGCCCCGCGTGTCTGCGCCCCCGGGTGGTGCTACGAGTGCCCCCGGGTGGTGGAGCGAGTGCCCGCGTTACCACGCCGGAGGAGGGAGGCTTCTGCTGTAGGAGCCGCTCTAGGCAGCTGCCGAGAAGAAACGTGAAGCCCCGCCCTTACCGGGAGGCGGACCCGCTCCGGACAGCGGGAAAACGGGCTCGGCACGGCGCCCCGCGGCCGCCCCCGCACGCCCCTGCCTTACCCCAGGATCAGCAGCGCGCTCCGCAGCCGCCTGCGCACCTCCACGAACACGTGCATCTCGGCCGCCGCCGCCGCCATGGCGGCGCCCAGACCGAGGGACGGCACGTGCGGCACGGACAGAAGCGGCGGCGGTTCCGGCCTCCGGCGCCGGAGGGTTCGGCGGGCAGAGCTGCAGGCCCACAGCGCCGCCTGTCGGGCGGAGAGCGCGCCGCCCGAAGGCTGGACCTAAATTTGCCTAGCCAGAAAGCCTATTTTCTCACGGCCAACCTGTTAACACCTCCTAGAATATAATCAGAATAGACTACCAATTTGAACATTACTGTACAGGTCTTCCTTGACTTACAACGGAGTTACGTGCAGTAACCTCATTATAAGTTGAACATATTGTTAAGAATGCATTTAATACACGTACCAAACAGCTTAGCCCAGCCTACCTTAAACATGCTCAGAACACTTCTTTAGCCTTACAGTTGGGCAAAATTATCTAACACAAAACCTATATTATAATAAGGTGTTGAACATCTCATGTAAGTTATTGAATATTGTACTAAAAGTGAAAAACAATGGTTGTGTTGGTTGTTTACCTTTGTGATCACATGGCTGACTGGGACTTTCTGCCACTGCTGGGCATCACCAGAGAGTATAGTATTGCATGTATTGTTAGCCCAGGAAAAGATCAAAATTCCAAGTGTGGTTGCTACTGAATACATTTTACATACGCACATACATGAAGTCAAAAAATGAAGTCGAACCATGGTGATGGTCTGTTGTTGAGCTGAGTACCCTGTCCTTTAAAATTCCCTACACTATGCTTTTTTGACTTTCAGAGCTTTTAGAGCATGAAGGTTTAGTGGTATAACAAAAGGCTTGTATTTTCTTTGGTAAAATATTAATATTAAAGATGCACATAGGTTTCTGTGAGCCTTTGTCTGGTCTCTTGATGCTTTTCTATAACCAGAATTCATGTTTTGAATTTGATTTTATGGTCAAGTTATTGATTTTATTAAGAATGGCATTATAAAGTTCCAACAAGTAAAGACTTGCTCATAATGGCCTTATTTTTTGCTATGAATGATTGATTTCCTTTTTCAGTCATGAACTCTTCAACTATGAAATATGATGTCACTTGAAATGTACTTAATTCATAACTAAATACTTTTAAGAGTTTAGATCAGTGAAGACTTAAAGGTTAAAACAAATTCTAAAACAGTTATGTCTAAATCATTTACAAACAAGATCTAAGTATTGAATACAATCTTAAATTATCTTGCTGAATTCTGTCTGCAGTCACTAACACACACCAGCATGGCTACTTCTGTCTATTCTTTGTTACTTTGTTAGGGGTGAGTGCTGTTTAAGTGCTCCTTTGAGTGGGCAGGATTGGGTGTGGGGGACAATACATATAATTTTAATAGGTAAGCCTCAATTCAGGTAAGTACTTTCCCTGAAATGAAACTATCAAGTAGAAGGATAAGAGCTGCTATTTTCATATAATAGCTAACAGTTTTTGTTGAAATTGTATTATATAAAAACAAGTACTTTTGGTCCCCCTGTTTTTACATTGTGATTTTCCTTTTTTCTGTATTATATTTACCTATTAACTTCACCCTCCCCAAGCTATCAAAGCCCTCAATGACCTTTCTTTGTATAGGTCAAGGGTATGGTATCAAATTTATCAAGGAAAAATTTATAGAATAATCTGTACTCATTTTATGTGTATATTACATATATACCCATGTAATCACCACCACAGTCAAGATCTGAAACATGCCACCACCACTCAGCCTGTACTGTCATGCTGTTGCTCTCTTTGAATGCTTGCTCTCCCTGTCTCTGCACATCTAAATCATACATATTAAATCTTAGCTCAAATGCCACCTTGTCTGTGAATCCTTTTTTGTTTCCCTCATTTTGAAGTAATTTTCCTTCTATTTTGACTTTCATGTTTACATTTCTTTGAACATTCTTCTCTGTCCTTGTGATGGTAAACCAATGGCGTGCTTTCGGGAGGCATTATATTTATTGGCTGACCAATGAACAAATGTCGTGTTCTCAACTTGAGTCATTCTTCTGTCATCTTAAAAATTTGGCCATATTTGCATATTTCCTGTATACTCATTTTCTTCCTATTTCTTTATATCAATGTGATTATTAACAAAATTTTTAAAGAATACTTGAAATAACCACCATAAATAAAAAGTAGATAACACTTGCCATAAATAGAAGTAGACATAGAGATAAAAATAATGGAAACAAAACAATGTTAAATTCTAGATACTATTGCCTACTGAAGATTCTAAGCCTGAGACTTGTTCTTTGTTTAAAAGAGAGATTAGCAAAAACTGCAGAGGTGTTGATAACATTCTGGCGCCAGTCTGTTCCTGATGCAGTCAGAGGAATTGAAAGAGAATGAAGTGGGAATAACTTCTTTACTTGATTCAGTGTCACTTAGCCCTGTTCTTGGGCCCCATAAAATCATCTCACATCTAACTGGTGGCAGAAGTTTGGGGAAATAGTGGGTTAATCAGAGCCTGAAAATTCCTTAGAATTCCATCTGTGAAAGAACTGGGAAATAAAACCTTAATTGCAAGTTAAAAGATTTACCAGATTTAACTTAAAAAATACAATATGAAGGTGGAAAGTTAATATTGTTATTGAATCATAAAAGTGTCTATTTTTTCAAAATGTTTTAATGTTAATTTTACAAATAAAACACCCACCATTTTGTTACTAGGGTACACTGGCTTTAAGATAAACCTTTGAATCTAAAGAAATAAACCAAAATCTAAAAACCAGTAGGAGCCTTTTGTATGACAGAGTGATTAATGTTGATTCAGGAGTGTTGAAATGAATGTTAATATAATGTTTATCTGGCAAATCTCCCAAAGAGTATATGAGACAGTAAACTTAAAAGAATCTATTACTTTTTACTTCTTCCTCTCATCTTCTTAAGTTTGAGCTATATTTTGGTATTTCCATCCTGCAGACGACATTTCCAGTCTTTTCTTCAGAGGTAATGAAATGATTGATTTCCTTTTTCAGTCATGAACTCTTCAACTATGAAATATGATGTCACTTGAAATGTACTTAATTCATAACTAAATACTTTTAAGAGTTTAGATCAGTGAAAACTTAAAGGTTAAAACAAGGTAATGAAAAATTCTCTTGTGGAAAGAATTTTTTTTATTAAGGTATCATTGTGGTTCACTACATTTACCCATATTATCAAGTCACCTCCACACCCCCACCCCATTACAGTCACTGTCCATCAGCGTAGTAAGATGCCACAGAATCACTACCCGTCTTCACTGTGCTACACTATCTTCCCCGTGACCTCCCCCACAACATGTGTGCCAATCATAATGCCCTTCAATCCCCTCCCCAACTCCTCCCCTTTGGTAACCGCTAGTCCCTTCTTGGAAGCTGAGTCTGGGGCTGTTTTGTTCCTTCAGTTTTGCTTTGTTGTTATGCTTGTGGAAAGAGTTTTATATGAACAGTCAGGAAAATAAATTCCCCTATTCTTGTTCTGTATAATACATCCTGTATTTCAGCTTGCTGTGGTTATTTTCAAGCATATATCTGTATTTTGAGCTTAATGTTTGAATTGCCATTATTTTGTGTTCATGAACAAAGAGTTCAGGTAACTAAGTAACAAAATTTAGTTTTGTGTTACTGTTTTATGAAAATAATTTACCTAAATCTTAATACTAGGTTTATCAGTATACACAGTAATTTGCTACTCAACCAGAAATCAGACTGCTATTAACCTAAGGTTCTGGGATGCAACTTCAATTTGGAAGTAAGAAAAGAGCCTTTTAGATCACAGTCTGTTTCGTAAAAGGGCCTTCCCCCAAACAAATAGTTTCTTTCCTGTGTTTCCACTATAAAATCAGCAGTATAGAAGCAGTGCAGATTAACTATTATCAATTAAAAGTGACAACTGACTGTAATCAGAAAAACCACAAGCGCAGCAGTTTTAATTCTTTAAATTATGCAGGCAGATAGGCCTACATTTTTCTTTGTGCTCTTTCTTGCTTTGTGTGCTATTACGGAAAGACACTATATCAGCTACCTGAAACCTTTAGGAAATGTATTTTTATGATCAATCAAATTTTCCAGATAGCTGGAACTTTTGTATGTAATGTACGACAAATGCCATCCCAGCGTGTGATCATACTTTTTGCTTGTCTTCAGCATGAGCACTTTCCATACACTCTTACACAAGCCTTGCAGTGTGCCTGATTTAAAAAATTTCCAGGACAGAAGTTTCTTCTCTAGAGAAAAAAATAGAACATAGTACTTGCTTTAAATTTAGTGCCTGTTATTTTGAAGGAAAATATTTCAATGACTTCCATATCATATACCACCAGTTCCATAATGTTACTGCCATTTAGTAAGGAATTTATCCTCGAGCCTGAATAGTTACAGCAACATGATTTTTTCATGGCATCTGGTGTTTTATTGGAAAACTGTCTTCAAAGTGTATTACCCCAAGTCTACCTGATTCTATAATTTGAGGCTGCCTGTTACTTTTATGTGATTTGATGACAACTGTTTTTATTATGTCCTTTATGTTATAGAGGTTGCAGTTTTAAAAAGGACAATAACATTTGAGAATAAATTCTATTTATTTCTGCATAACAAATGATCTCAAAATGTACTGACCTAAAACAATAGTAAATATGTGTCACAGTTTCTGTCAGAAGGGACTGGGGATCGATTTGGCTATGAGGTACTGGCTTGAGTTTTTTTTTTGTTTGTTTTGTTTTTACTGAAAAAATTTTTATTGAAGTATAGTTGACATACAATATTATGTTGGTTTCACGTATACAGCATAGTGATTCAAAAGTCATCTACGTTATTAAATCCTCCCCCAACTAGTGTAGTTACTATTTGTCAACATGGAAAGGTGTTATAGAACTATTGACTGTTTTCTCTATGCTGTACTTTCATCCCTGTGACTATATTATGATTGAGATTTTGTGCCTCTTTATCCCCTTTATCTATTTTACCATGGGTTAATCTCTTTAGACCAGTTCAACTGTGGGTACAAAGGGTTAATAGCCAGGGTTCATGAGTGATCATCAGCCAAACCACTCTGAGCTCAGCCCACTGGTTACTGCACTGGTTGCTATGGGAGAAGTTTTACTTGGTCTAGCACTGTGTACGCTGCTAGGAGCTATTGCTCTGGGTGTGTGGGTGTATATCAGGTTTCTGTCTCCTTCTAGAGCTGGCACCAAAATCTTAGTCATAGTCACCCCTTCTGTAGTCTCTGCCACAGTACCAGATCCATACTTTTTGG